CTTTCCTGCCTATGCAGGGGGTCGGACTCGATGATCTGTTGAGGTCCCTTCCAACCCTAACATCTATGAATCTATGATAACAAATAGCCACGTCTTTAGAAATCTTTTTCAATGGTAAGTATCTATTGGCACGATCCATATATGATATGGTTGTGCTTAAAACACAGGTTCAGACATCTCACCTTACCTAGTGCTCCCTGTTAGCCTGTATAACTGATCTCTCCCTGTTGTTATGTGTCAATTTTGTGTCATCTACACATATTATTAACAGTAGTTGTGTATTTTCATTCTGATCATCAATAAAGATTTTGGCAGCTAGCTGCCAATTGAGAGCTTGTTAGCCAATTGTTTTGACCTGCTGAGGTGCAAGGTAGCAGGTTATGCAAACATTAAAAGATTTAACTTTCTAATAATTGTTGTTTAACATGCTCTTCAGTTACAGATGGAATAGAAAGTATTTACTGTAATTGTCACTGTAAGATAGAAACATATTAACCTGTTGGGTTTTTTTTCCAAATACAAAACAGAAATATTTTTTAAACATCTCTGCCTTATCTGTTTTATGACTGAAACTCAGGAGCATTAAGGGCAATAAAAATAATTCTTCACACATTACAGAACCAAAGTCCTAATAAGCTCTGTGCTGTACACGCATACTTATTGATCCAATAGTAGACAGTGATGGTAAAATTAACAAAGCTTTTCCAATTTCAAAGTATGCTTTAACTTAGAAGTAAAAGAAACTTGGTTTTATGTTTCAGGAATTTATGCGCATGATTGGTAATGATAAACAGGGACAGATGATTGTATTCCATTTGATCGAGCTTTTGAAGAGTAACGGACGACTCCCAAGACCAGACGGGTGCCCTGATGAGGTACTACAGTGACTTTTTTTGTCTTAATGCTGATCAGTAAATAATAACTATAAATGATGTCATTTCTTCATGGTATATTGCAGCAATGTCCATTGTGTGGCCACGTAGGCCCCTGCTACCTGTTACATATATTAATCAAGTGGTGAACCACGCAGTAAATTTAGGCTAGCCACACGTGCAAAGTAAGACCAGCCACAAGTACAAAGTAATTATCACACAATTAACTGGTTAATCGTACAATAAATTTAGACCCGCCACATGTGCAAAATAATTATCATGCCATAAAAATGACTATCCAGCTATAGAAAGAGCCAACCATCTATAAAGTTAGTGCTTGATAATGTGTAACAACTCTATAGCTGGTTTCTGTCCGGCTTGAATTTGAACGTGTAGGAGGGCCCACATTCAGAAGCAGCAGATGGTTGTGTTTTTACCATGTAGTAGTTAAAAGACCAAAGAGAGGTATTGTCAGATATATGGTCTTTCTGAATCTCTCTGGATAGGTTAGCTGCGATTCATTGCTACAGGTTCATACAGATTTCAACTCCGAACTGGAGAATGAATAAGCTTTGAGGAGTGTAGCAGATAGCTCTGCCTGTTAGTATGGCTGGCTGATAGTTTCACTTAAGACAGGGCTGTCCAACTGGCAGCCTATAGGCTGCATGCCCACAAGGGGTTAGCTTGCAGTGGCCCAGACTACCACATAGCTGCTCCTTCCCCCATTGCTCCAGCTGTAGCAGCTGCTGGGGGCTCCAGGCTCCCTGACCCTCCTCCAGCTTCTGCTTCCTGCCCCTGTCCCAGGGGCAGAGCAAGGCATCTTGGCACAGCCTTTGGCACCCATGCGGCACACTGTAGCAGAGAAACCTATAGCCAGGAAGCTGAAAGTGGGGCTGCTGCTCTCTTGCCTGTGCACAGGGGGTGGGATGGGGGAGGGAGAAGGAAACACCTGCACATACAATGCGGCATGGTGGGGAGAAAGCATAGCTCAGTGAAGGCCTGTTGATCACACTAGTATGGTCTATGCAGGATCCAGGCCCTGCTGGTACAGCTCATGGGACATACAGCTCATGGCTGCCTAGAAGCTAGACAGCCCTCACTTCAGATATGTTAGTACAGCTTTCACACTGAAGAGTTAAAGTCTCAAAGACATGTGAGTTTCAGTTGTCCCTGTTACACTAACTTGACTGTAGTACATATACTCTGCTGTCATTGAATTTTTACAACATAAATGGCAATATATTTAGCTACATGTTTTAACCTGAAAAATAGGAATAAATAAGACTTATGTGCACAGTGTCCTAGTTAATAATGATGGTGACATCTTAAAGTTTGCATTTTCCTGATTTATGTGACTTTGCTTGTCCAGCTTTCATATTGCAGATGTTCCTTGCATCTAATTCTGAGATTTAAATTACCTGCCTTCACTATTTCCATTTGTTTCTTCCTCTGCTGGCAAGCTTAGGAATGCACATACTGAAATGCCAGTGCTGGTCCTATGCAAAGATTTACACACTGTATGTACATGAGTTGCCCCATGTGGAACTCTTTGCATGTGCTTAATTTTATACACAAGCATGTAGAGGGTCATAGCATTGTAAGCATATATGAGATGTTCACAAGTAGCTTCTGGATTTGTACTCTCACGTTGGGTCTATAACCAGTTATGTGTGCATGAAACCCCTTCATTTAAACACTCTATATCAGGGGTGTTGAGCAAACTTGGCCCCAGAGCCAGATGAGTGGCATGAGGCTGGCCCACAGGCTGGATGGACAGTGCAGGGCCAGCCTCGCTGGCTGGATTAACACAGACCCTCCTCCCCCCTCACATGCTGAACCCAGTGCCAGTGCTGCTTGCTCCAGCTAGACCAGGACTGCATCACATGGTGCCCATTCTGGCCAAATTAGGATGTTAGCCTGCCCCAACTGGTCTGGGGTGGACACTGCATGCAGCACAGGTCCTGGACTGGCTGGAGCAGATGCTGAGTCCAACATGCAGGGGGAACCACAGAGGCCTTCCCCACACCCCCTTGCCAGTGCGTTACAACGCTATATATGGTGCCAATTCTAGGACCTGTGCTGTACCTGGCGCCCATCCCAGACCAGCTACCATATGCCTTACACTGCCAAAAAGGCTCTGTGGAACCTGGATCTAGCATGCCCAGGGGGAAGGGAGGTCTGGACTGGCCCCATGCAGGGGTAGATGATATGACTCCACAGGCCATGTCTTGACACCCCTGCTCTAAATGAGCATGTATTCTCCTAAATAATTTAGAAATGTTCTTCTTGTGTAAATATTTTTTCTTGCTTCTATATGGGGTTTTTTTTAAATCTGCATGGTTTGAAAAACCACAGGGTGGTTTGTACCATGAGTCTATTTCTTTGGGCCTTATGGGGAAGTGGGGAACTAGTACTTGCAACAGAATATTTTTTTAATTTCTCAAAATAATAATGGGGAGATTTCAGGCTGCCCCTTTATGTAATCTACGTAAAGACCCAACTGGTTCTTCAGCGTGAGAAGCTGTGGTTTTCTCCCATTTTTGAGCTCTGATAGAACACAAGTTATTAGTCCATAACTTCTTACCAGTCTATTTTTATTGGCTGCTCTGAGCATCAAATTAATGTAATTTTGGAACTAATGTAATTGTTTTGGAGAGAGGAAGACTGTTGTTCAAGTGGATGGTATTTCTGTGGGTTTTTGTTTTTTAACCTGGTACTTGAAAGTTGGCCAGAGGTTTAAAACATTAATAATGGTCCAGGTAAAGTTAGATTAGTGACCGTGGTGCAGATGAGGAAGTTGTAGATCTGCAAGTTACCCTGTGAGTTTCTTTGTCACATATTGGAGGATCAAAGAGAGGGGGGATATGTGCAAATTCACTCCAAGTGCACATTCACTAGAACCATAATTAACCTTTGCATACTGAGGTGCACCAAAACATTTCAGACTCAGTAAATTGACTATAAGCAGATTACAGTCTATCTTTATGAATGTATTAGATATTTGAAGTGTTATACCAGTCAGGATAGAGCCTAATTTAGAAATTCTCCCTCAGTAAAACTGGGCACTGTCAGTCTTATAAAGCTACCACCCTTGACATCTTTTTAAGCATTCCCTTTTTATAACATTTGTCAAATAGCAAGGAGGTCTTCACCCAACCTGAAAGACTTGCTGTTTTAACAAGTCCCTTGATAGAGCAGAGCTACGAACAGGTAGGTGTCACTTGCACCCTAACTTAACCAAAGAAAGCAGTTAATGTGGTGATAGCTTAGAAGCTGAAGGTGCACCCTTTAGCTCTCTGGTCCCCTGCTAACTCAGAAACACTTCAGTCCAGCTCAAAGCGTGTAACTAGCTGAAGTTCCTATTTATGTAATACAAATGTCTTATCTCTTCCTCAGATATATGCCATCATGAGAGAATGCTGGAACAACAATGTAAACCAGCGTCCCTCGTTTAGGGACCTTGCCCTGCGAGTGGATCATATAAGGGACAACATGGGTGGATGAGAGAATTTCCATTCGTTCAGCAGACATGTTGAAACACAGAACAAAACTTTGTTCTTTGGTTTGCTGTGGATTATTGACACGTTCACACACATCCATCCATCTTTGCTCTGAGCAAAATCTGTGTGAAAGTATCCTGCCAGAATCTGCAAACTGAGGAATTCTGTTCATTTTCTTCATCAGGTTACATTTTCTACTATGAGAAGACACCAATGAAAAACTTTAATAGAAAGGGGAATTATTTTTGTAAACAAAACAGCATACCTATTATGTGATCGTTCAGCATCACCATTATTTGCCTTACTTGGCAATGCAAAAAAAAAAATTACTTACCAATATGGTGAGGATTTTAGAAATGAGAAGACCGAATGCATTTCCTGGCAGACAGACATACACAGAATATATTTTTGTCTTTTCACACTGAATGTATAGCATCTTGTCATCCTGTTTAGTGTATTGCACAAGGGCTTGTATCTCATAATTTGTTGCTGTCATTGCAGGAATAGCTTTACTAGAGAACAAATTGAAGGTGGTTAGATAACTAAGAAGCTTCTAATGTGCCTGTTTGAGCCCTTTATTGTTCAGCAATATACGTAAAGGTATTCATCAGGCAGTTTGTATGATGTACTGTAAATATTTTAAGGGAAAGGGAACAAATATTTAGATTTGGGCAGCCTGCAACCCTCCTTCACCTGAAAATAACATTTTGTAATGAACTTGTGAAAATTTAGCACAACTTATTTTTCTCTTTTCCCTCCTGTGCCTATTGTGGAAGTGTTGGGTTCTCTCCCTGTTTTATGAAGGTACGGACAGCAACTAGAACTGAAGCTGCCTCCAATAAAGCAGTGACTTCTGTTTACCATTTCTTAGAATAAGAATGCTAAATATATAGTTAACCCTTTTACATGCTGCTTTTTCCCCTTTCCATCTGTATAACCTCCAGGGAGTGATAGGTTTAACTCTAAATAGGAGTTTTGCCTTGGGGTTGAACTAAAGATAGAAAGCACCCTCCACAACCCCTTTCCCCAATCCAAAGAAAAGGGTTTACAACAAAACTCCTTGCATGGCCAGCCATCATCTTGCCAGGACTATTTTCTGATGAAGCTACACCATCCCATCTCATATTTTCTGCTGATGGTAAAACCCAGGGAAGTGGGGTTAGGCAGAAAATCCCAACAAGACTTCACAGTCAGTGAAGTGGCCAGGGCTATCCGGACACAGGGGTGCCTGTTGCCTGTGTGCAAGAAGGTGTGTGTCTGACAGCATGAGCTTATTAAAGATCTCTGCAGGAAAGGTAATACAACTCCAGGCTGAAATACCCTGAGTATTGAGTGTCCCAATGTGTAAAGATCAGGGGGAATAAGTGCTGTTGTCTCTAGGTGTAAATCAGACTGATGTTTCAGAACTTAAGCCATATGATTCTACTTGCTCTCATAAACTAGAGTACTTTGTACCTTGTTTGAATCTCTTTGTTTGGCTAGTTCACCCTACATTTTTGATGAGAGAAGCTTGTTTTAGGGGCCTTGTAATTCAGCAAAGTGCTCTTGCATCCAAGTAGAATATTCATTTTAAAATGAATCGGCAGTGAGTGAATGAAACAGCAATTATTCATAAACATGTAAGGTGCACAGTAGTGATGTCATAATGTACATCTAATAGGAATATTTTAAAATTTACCTCAGTTTTAAAAATGCTTACCCAGTGTTCAGTTTAAAACAGTGCCAGTATGAGCAAGCTCCATACCACTTGGGAATTCTTTCCTTGATCCTTACTCAGGCAAAACTCACCTTGACTTACTGGAGAGAGGTTTTGTCAGAGTAAGAGGGCAGCATAAGTTCCTCTATTCTGAATATTGGATCTAATAGTAATTTATATCTGTTGTCACAAAGTTTGAAACACTTAAATCAGCATTTTTAAAAAGTAACTTTAAATTGCAAATAACTTTAAAATTCTTTGTCCAAAGCAATGCTTCTTATTGCATTTCTGTACATTGCTTTGGAGTCTGTTTCAAAATGAGCTTGTGGAAAGAGATGTCTTTGCATTTGTAGAGTCATAACTTGGTGTATTGTTTTTTGTAACAAAACAAAATAGAGCTTTACAAGCATTAAAACAGCATTATAGCTGGGAAAACATACAGAAACAAATCGAAAAATGCAGTGTATAACACTCGGTAACAAATAGGTTTCCAAGAAATACTAGATGGAATATAATTTATGTAAAATTTAAAAAAACCTCAGGGAAGTTTGTGTAATGCAATGAAGAGATCTTCCATTCTGCTATATTTTTCAAGAAAATAAGACATCCTGTTTGTTCTACTATAGTCTGATTTAATTTCATACACTTTGATTTAATAACTGTAGTGTTAGAATATAAAAGGATGAAGATTTTTGAAGTTCTGTATTATTTTATTAGATGCTTTTTAAAAGATGTTTTTATTTTTTGTTTGTTTGTTTTCTTGGTTTTTTTTAATGTTCCATCATTTTTTAGACAATGCTTTAACTTTACGAAGCAGTCAAATTTTGTTCTCTCTATTGGACAGGGACAAAATAACCCATTATAACAACTCTCTGTAAGACATGAATATGGCATGTTGAGCATCCCCAGCTCAATAAATAGGAGCAAGCAGTGCTTAGCAACTCCAAGAGTTGTACAGATCTTGTAAGATTTTCAGTTCTGTGGTATATATGTTTAGTTCTATGTATGGACAAAAATCACACGTTTTTTCAAATAACTATTTGGTTGTTTTTCAAGACGATACACACGTAGTGACTTTGCTAGACTTCATGCCAAATGTAGTAAACTTTTTAAATTAATGCACTTCAGAAATAAGTTCTTATGAGAGTTACAGTAGCTCTGTATATACTGTGGTATTTTTTTACATTAGTCTTTGAATTAACAGATAAGTCGTAATGATTTTAAAGTTGGTATTCACTTTTTGTCACATTTTCTTGTTATTTATATGCTACCAAAATGCTGTGATTTGTTGTGAAAAATTCTGTGTCCTACAAATACATGACTGCTGCTATAAAGTAAAGTGACGTTTATTACAGCTACTGCTTCAGATTTTTTATTAAAGAAAATAATTTTACTATAAAGGAATTGTTTATTGTACAAAGTCTTTACAAACAAATGTTTTTTATTTCCTAATGTAATACTGGTCTGTGGTCCACTAGTTGTGAATATGTTGAGCTTCAAAATCATTCTTAAATGTATTCCACAAAGTTGCAACAGTCATGTAATAAACAAGAGGAAAGAGTTTTCAGACAGCTATAACCTAACCTGAAAGGAAGAAAACTAGCAGCTTGTAAGAGTTTGGACAAATCACAGTATCTAAGAAACGCTTCCATAGTTTTCAGATACTAATTACTGTATAGCCCTATGAATATAACTGTACCAACATATTTCAAAAATATTAAAATTATTTTTAAAAATAAAAGTTTCTTCTAATTTTTGGATATAGTTGAACAGTCATTCCTCACCAGGGGAAGATGGGAGCTACTGGTAACAATTAACAAGGGCCTGGCTTTTAGGCAGGCTGGAATGTGCATGTGCACAGAAAAGAGTTGACCTGAGAGCAGGATTCAGACACCTCAGCCATGCGTTTGTTTGTTAGATAATAAATTACTAAAAGCTGTAGGGACTTGAACCTGAGATTGTCTGACAGTTGTTAAGAACTGAACATGGTAAACTATTTGACATGCTCACCAACTTATATCTGCTGACCTCCAGTTTTATATCCCGTTTTGGTGGCAGGCCATGAGAGAGCTGTCTACAAAAGTGAATTGTAAGCAAACTGACTGATGAGAGGCAGCAGTATTTAACTAAAAATCTATCAATAAAAAGGACTTTTCAACCTGCAGAGTTCTGATTTGTTTCATAGTTGGTAGGGTCGGAAGGGACCTGAGCTGGTCATCAAGTCCGACCCCCTGCCATGGCAGGAAAGAATGCTGGGGTCAAATGACCCTGGCAAGGTGTATTGTGTATTCTGTGACCCTTAGTGTAAGAAATAATTTACTTTTGAATTCCAAATAAGAAAATGAAGCTACGTGTAGACATTGGTTATCTGAGTTTTGTGTGCGTGTCCACTCACAGCTGGCTTGCAGACAGCTGTTTTTAAAAGTGTAAAGAACGTGTACCTCAAAGCTTTTCTTTTTACTTATAACCTTTACTTTGAGTTGAAAGACTTGTGTTCTCCTACAGTTGGAAAATATAGTGCAATATTTCTACATTAACTATGCAATTGACCAGCAAAGAATTTGCTTAATAGAATACTCTTAAGATGAAGGGAAACAGAACTGATACCTTAAGGTTCACTCAAGGATTGAGCTTGTTTAATAAAATGACCTTAGTCATATTCTTGAAATAATTGGGTACGCCATGCAAACATTTCCATTTTGTACAGTGTTTTACTTCAATGAAATATATTTATTGGTACTTGTCATGGCTAGTTTACTTTTACCTTTAGCTTGCACAAGAAGAGCTATGATAAGGGATGAAAAGCAGATTTGCAGCAGTCTTACCTCCTGACAAGACCAAAAGTAAAGAGTTGATATATTAGATTAAAGATGAAGTGCATGCCGTAGTTTTCAACATACTTCAGTGATATATGTTGTTTATACATTGCTGTGCTGTAACAGTGTACTCAACGTTAAAACCCTGGCCAAACTTTCCAGAACCCTCTTCTACTCTTATGTGAGCACAAAAATACAAACCCTAATTAAGTCTCAAACTATGACTAGTGTAGATATGATAACTGTGCTAGGGCAGTATGTTAGCCAGCCTGGGAAGCTCCAGACAATCGCTAAACAATAGCAAAAATAAGAGTATGGACAAAAACTGAGTTGAGAGGTAGCAGTATAACATGTGAAAGTGTTTTGCTGAGGGCTAAGCTAACACTTGATAAGATCAGGCACCAGACAGACATTAAGTTCTTGCCTTTTAACCCACTGTACTTGGTTTTTTCTGTCCAAAACCTACGGTTCCCTCTTAAGGCAAGTGATCCCTTCCATAGGCCACCAAGGAACTAGTCTAGACTGGTTGTCGTGAAGACAGAATGGTTTTAAATACATCTCTAGCCCTTTTTGTACCTAATAACTTATTGGCTTTATCAAGGTTAGCTACTGAAACACAGCCTTGGAACAGACTAAATCCAAAGGAAAAGTAGGAAGAAATTTTGTTAAGAAAATTTCTCTTGAACTTTCATACGCACCTTAGCCTATGTCACGTGCTATGCATTTTACTGCTATACTAAATAAAGTCCACTTGAGTTATCTGAACAGCCTTCTAGATTTCTTCCTCAAAAAAAGAGAGCAGGTGTGAATTTGGTGAGGTGTCTATTAATCAGTTGTCTGGCTGACTAGTAATCAATTACCTCCAAGCAAACTAGTTTCTTCTTTGGTGCTTAAGATGAACAATTTAACATTAGAACACAGTTTATGTTTTCATTGTACCTGTAATAATTGGAGCTAAATATGAAAAATCTAATAGCTTGGTCTAAAACCTGGACTCACCACTTGAAATTCACCTTCACACACCAAGATGCAGAAGCTGCTTAGAGAGAAAGTATCTCACCTGCATAACTCTGAGGTTAGTGCACATCCATGTGTGGTAATTCTAGATTTTTTTTTTTCCAAACAAGCAGTCAGATACAATATGCACAACTTCCTCAGATTTTCACTTTACAAATTTAGCAGTGTCTGACAAGAAGTCTAGTGTACACACAGCAATTTCTAGCACATCTGTGCAATCAGGCCATATTGGTCAAAAGAATTTAAAGGTCAGTCTTAACAAGGGCTATTCCCACACCCAATTTCAACTTTACCAGGGTGACTTTGTAGGGATGTCACTTCCTCAACCCCTTGCTCCCAATTGAGATTAAATGAGGCATTTCATTTAAAGCTCCCTCTTCACCTTAACTTATGATGGACAGTTAAAGGAAGCTTTTCAAATAGCTGAATGGCCTGAAGCAGGGTTTATGAGGGAAACAAACATGCACTTTGACATTGCAGATTGTAGTGGAAGCTATACTGAGGGTCATTCAGTTACCTTTCCCCAAACAGAAAAAGTATATGCAAGTAAGAAAAATGTTTTACTCTAAATGCTATACTTCATATCCCTAGGAAGTGATGTTATGAAAACAAGTGTGATAATAGGGAACACAACTTGGCTTAATAACCAAGGAGGTCCCTTCCAGCTTCTTTTCCCATCCCATGCTGCAATACTATGGACCTTCTGTGGTCTTAGAAAAAATTGTTAGGATAATTATCAAAATATGTAGGAGATGCAATCTTGATTTCATGAAGCATTAGTTCAAATGAAAGCAAGGTGGAAGACTGCCTGAAAAACCGCAAGACAAAAGACAAAATCTTCAATCCATTTAAGTACAATGGTATAGCAATAGGTGTCAAAGTTTTGGCCTTTAGTGATAACTGCTTATGATCCTCTAAACATAACTGGAAGTATATCATTGTAAACCTCAGATTGTAAGTAGTACTTAATGAGGTATTCATTGTAAACGCTCGTAAGGACACAGTTCAGAGGGACCTGAAGTGATTACAAACGTTTGTAGGAAATAAAAGGTCACAGAATTAAGAACAACCAATGGAAAGCAAAAAAAAAAAAAAAAAAAAATCCAGAAGCCACAAACATTAACAGCAGAAGGTAAATAAAACAGTAGTTAGTAATTCAACAGTATGTCTCAAGGAGTGCACAGAGCAAAGTACTTCAGTACTCTGGAAAAGTGAGCAAAACGCAAGATGTTCACAAGTAAAGTTTAAAAGGATAAAAGGTTAAGAGTACTAGCCATCCAAGCTTAGTGAAACAATAACTGAAAAAGGGTGGGGGAACAAGGTAAGTCTATAGTACTTGACATAATTATGCAGGACAGCACAGACATATCCAAGTAATAGGAAGTGATCAATAGAAAGTTTTAATATTTTATAATACGTAGATTTCTGAGAGAAAAATGTGATAAAGAACTCTTGCAAGTGGAGAGAAATAGAAGGCAGGATAGATGTGCTCCTTATAATCTAAGTGCATGTGTATATATACAGGTGTGTAGATAAATATATATGTAGCACAAGCTAAGCTTTCATATGCTGAAGCTCACTTCATCAGATGTGCAAAATTTATATTATTGTGTAATAACAAAGCAACTATTAAGTTCTATAGTTCTCTATTAAGTGGTGCAACAGCCAACTTGGTATTCACTTGATCTCCAATTTATAAAAGATCTTTTTAGGTCAAATTGAACCAAGTTTCAGTTTGTTAAAGGATGCTCTTGATATTGTTTCCAATGACAGGGGAAAAACAACTCTGTAATATTCATAGAATGTAATATACTTTTAATTACCATGGATTTTTCTCCCTAGAGTGTTACAAATATGAGGTGGGAAATTTTAACATAAAGAACAAACATTCAAATTAGTAACAGTTTAGCAGAAATTTAGATTAAAAGGTTACTGCAACAATACACAGTCACTAACATTTAGGTTTGAGGGGTTTTTTAGTAAAATCAACAACCAGTCACAGACAAAATGAAATACCAAATGCATGATTATTTTTCTCTCTACGCGCAGCACTCAATCAAGTATAACTGCAACTAACATTGAGTCCATATGTCTAAAGTAAATGCAGAAGTACCATTTTAGTTTCAGCATAGTGTACTAATTTCCATTTTAGTACAGCCCCATTTGCAGCACATTCCTGCCACCCCCATAGATAAGTCCCGTTTCTTTCTGGGATACTTAGCCCAAGGAAAACTGTTCGATCCCATGGGACTGGCAATTCCTGTTCCACCTTTGTTCTTCTGGGCAGCATCTCCAACCTGACGGACATATTCTTTGAAGTCATCTGATGTGGGTACATATTCATTATAATCGTACAAATTAAACAAATCCTTCCCTGCCTGTTGTTCAAGTGGTAGGCTGCCTCTCTGCAGCTGCTCCAGATCTGGAACAAAGACTGACTGCAACTTTAAGTTTTCTGGTTCTTTGTTATTTGTGGTTTGAGTAGAATCTATTTAAAAAAAAGTTATTTCATATAAGTATATAGCATTACAAGGAGCAGATGGCCTTAGAAATAACACAAATAATTAACAATAAGCAAAGAATTATGATTGTAGCACAAGTCGAACAACTCAAATTCTACTATCCTTGCTGGCAAGTTTTTTGGAGCAGGATGGGTGGCATTGTTTAATCGTGCACACAGTGAGCACATCTACATGAGATGTTTACTGTGCAGTTGACTAATTAGGCATGCAGTAAGTATCTCGGCATCTATATGTGCACCCTTATTAGGCTGGAGTAAACTGACGATGTATTCCACAGCAGCATAGTACTTATAAGTACAAGTACTATCCCACTGTGGAGTAAAAAACGCAAAAGCATGCGTGTAGATGCTGGAGGTGCTGGCTGGGCC